AAGAAGAAAATCATTATTTAAACGATCACAAGCTAACTATAAAACTATCAAAAAAACTTAGCTGTGCATTTTACCAAAAACTTCCAGACTGAGTAAACAATTTAAATTATGTTATAAAAAATCAAGTAACAAAAGATATTGTTTAATGGGTACAGAGTTTCTGTTTTGGGGGGGTAATAAAATTTTGGAAATAAATACTGGGGCAGTAACAGTTACAAAAAGAAAAAAACAACAAAAACGCATAGAAAGCAGAGACCAACATCAGACACACAGAGCCAAGGTCCGCTCGGCTCTAACTTCGCACTGGAAACAAGGAAGAAAGGAAAACGGCCAAATTTGACTTTTTAAAAAACGAGGTCTGTGAAGTGAAAAAAAAGGCCAAGCGGAATGGGAGGCAAACTGGGATAAAAGGCCTGCCTCAGAATGTGAGGGCGAGCTACCACCCACCTGGTGAGGAGGCATTTGGTTTTGAAGAGAACAGTTAGGCACCAGGAGGCCACGGGGGCGTGGACAGAAACAGCCAGCTCAGAGGCCAGTTGGAGAGACTCAGGAAAACGTCCCACCTTACCAGTAAAAACCAAAACCAGATGGAAGCAAAGCACAGTCCCGGCTACCAACAGGGAGACCACACCAAGCACCCGGCTGTGCAAGGCCGGGGTGAGCCTGACCGCCTGCGGGGGGCGGTGTTGGGGGACAGCCCTTCCGGGAAGTGGTGTCCCTTCTCAGGGGCCCAGCCAACCCAGCTCTTGCGTACTGGTCCCACAGAAATTGTCTCCTAGAAGAACATGTAGGCCACCTGAGCACCCAAAGTCATAACACAACACCCGTCGGCTGGAAGACGGTTCTGACCAATGGCTCATCCCTAGGGACCCTGTGGCCGCCAAGAACAGCCGGAAGACCACGCTGCCGTTACGTGCAGAAAACGCAGAGGGCAGAATGGCCAGGAGGCTGGGACAATGGGGAAAGCATTCAGGCACTCTGGGGAAAAAAGACCCAGGTAGTAAGGCCGTGTGAGCGAGCGCGCACGCACACGCACACACAGCTGGACACGCTGTGGATTGCGCCAATGCCGCATCCCCGGGCTGTGGTCCTGTCCTACACTTACATAACGAACGCCACCACGGTGGTGGGCTGGGTCTCAGGGCCTCCCAGTACTGTTTCTGTGACACCCTGTGAATCCAGAATTATTTCAAAATAAAAAAATAAAAAAAAACACAAAAACAAGAAACAGGACAAGACGATGTTAAGATAGATGGTTCACGGGGCACTGTATGGGATGTGGATTACAGCTCAATAAAGCTGTTTAAAAAAAAAGAAAGACACGAGAACCCCCCCCAAAAAAAAGAATGGTTACTGGACAAGTCTAAAAATGTAACTGGTTCTAAATCAGGCAGTTCACAAGGCAAACTTTCTGTGCACTGCTGGTTCAAAATCTCTGGTGCAAACAGCTCCTTATAGGAGCTCGGGAAGATCCTGCCTCCTGGACGTGTAGACACCACGGGCCGGGCCGAGGGCCGAGGCGGGCCGAGGCAGGCCCAGGCCAGACCCCCGAGGTGTGGCTCTCCTGTCCCCGAGGGCAGGGAAGGCTGAGACAGACGAGAGAAGTGCCGTTCCAGCAGGATGCTCTCCCAGAAGCCACCCTCTTTGTGGACGACTTCCGTGGAGGTGTCAGAAAAGGACCCAGGACGCCAGCAACGTTCCCCCGAGGGGTCCTGACAGCCGAGCACACCTACCGTGATACAGAAGGATTCTGGGGGGCTCCTCTTCCTCATCTTCGTCCAGGATGGAATTAAGGGAACTGAGCTCCCCCGACCCCTCGGAAGACTGGAGGCCTGTCAACAACGGTAGACTTGCTGTTACTGCGTCGTCCTGGGGACGCATCAAGGACGCGTGAGGTGCTACATAACCAACAGTGCGAGGGAGTTCACAGAGCCGAGTTCCAACAGGGCCCGCTTCCACGGAAGCGCATCGTAAAGAGTATTTTAAAACGAGAGAGAGAAGGAGAGAGGGAGAGAACACGCCTCCCGCTTAGTAAAGGAAAGACAGGCATACGCAGCTGCGATCTAACGCATCGTAGGTGGTGAGCTCTGGGTGGGAGTTCCTTTGTCCTGGTGCGGCTTACTCCTCGGGTACACAGGGAGTGGGGTACCAGGAACCCAGAGTTAACTATGGGGCAAAGCAGGGGTGTAGCTACTTTCTCTGCAGAAACTGACGAAGCAGCAGCCTCCAGAGACTTAAGGAGATGGCCCAGGGACAGGAGTGTGTGCTCGGGGAGACACCTAGGCAGCCAGTGCGCAGACAGTGGGTTTCAGGACTCAGGACGCCTGGCCGTGCAGGGACTGAGAGCTCTGAATTAGCATTTCAAAAGTAAGGCCGGTGAGACAAAGCAAAAACAGGAAAATGCACAGCACCGGGCTGCAACCACACAGACATACTGATGCGGGAATTATTCGGAAATCAGGAGCCTTTTCAGTGCGCTAACCTCTTTTGAGCTGTCTGCCCAATCTAATGGGAATACATTGTTGCTTCTGCAACAGTTCCCAATAAGGGAGTTAATTCTTGGAGGGGCAGATGGGGCACCGTCACGGCAACAACGCTTCCGACGGCTGACACTGCCAGTAGGCGCTCCGCCACACTCTCTCGTGGGCCCCTCGATTCCCTCTGCCTCAGCACAAAAACACAAATGTACAGATTCTGGGAGAGGCTAGGGCAGTGACAGCCAGTGGGAGAGACAAGCAAACAGGAGTGAGGGGATCTCCGCTCCACGTCTGTTTTGGTAACGAGCTCATTAGGATCTGATTAAAAATACCCAAGGGCCCGTCTCCAAAGCCACAACTGCAGCCTCTCGGCTGAGCAACCTTACCTTCCTCAGCCTTCTCGGGGTCTGGGGGATGTAGGCTGAGCGGGTGGGTCGCGGGGGTGTGCTCCATGGGCCCCTGCCTGGCGGGCAGCACTGGCTCTGCGGGCCCCGTCTCTGGTTCCCCAAGGCGCGGCCTCTTCACGGGGAGTTCACCAGGGCAGTGGGGCCCCTTCTCCTGGCAGGCGTCACATGCCTCCTTTCTGGAGGCTGGGAGCGCAGGGAGGGGCCCAGCTGGTGACCCCAGGCCACCCCCATCAGCCCTGGTGCCAGGGGCGTTCTCCCTGACCTTGGAGGGTGAGGCCAGGGCTGGGGGGCTGCCCGCCTCCTCCTCGCTCCCTTTCTCCTCCTCGCCCGCTGAGAGAGAGGAAGGTACATTCTGGCGTGAGCTGGACACCTGGCCGCCATCTCTCTCCCTTCTCCTTGGGCGAGTCCGAGCTTTTTGGTGTGTTTGTGACCTGCTTCCATCCCGAGAGCCAGCTCCGGCTGGAGAGGCCGGCGGGGCTCCTGGGTTTCCACTGCCCCCCAGCCCCTGCTCGGAGTCCGCTGGGCACTTGAGATCCTTTCCGCAAGTGGACAAACATGACCGGCTGCGCTGGGCTCGCCCCCTCCTCCCAGGTCGGGGACTGCCGGACGCGTCTTCGTGGTAGAGAGAGGCTGAGCTGGAGCTGCAGAGCGTGGAGACCAGGTCCGTGGGCCTCCTGCTTGGAGACACACCCGCCCTTTCTTCCCTTGAAGGGTTCTCTTGACTCGACCTGGCTCCCTGGTTCAAAACATCCAGGGCCACTCGAAGCGACCTTCTGTAGGCCAGCTCCTGCAGAGGCGCGGCGGGGGCCTCATTCTGGGAGGCTGCAGGGGACAGAACACGAACAATGCCCGGTGAGGCGGGGCGGCCACGCAGGGCTTGAAAAGCATGCTAATTCTGATCTCCAGCTTTCTTATCTGAAGGAGTGAAGGGGGGAAGAACATTTTGCAACTACATTTTCCCAGAAAGGGGACGAGGCTACAAAACGGCCAGGCCATTCCTACAGAGCCGCGTAGATCTGGTTTTTGTTGTTGTTGTTTAAAAACAAACAAAGAAACAAACTTACTGACCTTAACCTGATTGGTTAAAAACATAAAAGTCCTCCAAGTTACAAAACAATACCACATGCAAAATGTATTCAAATGTTTTGCAAATCCTCTCTGGGCCTTACAATTTCAAATTCCATCAAGGTCAATAAAACCCAATGCCAGCTACAGAAAGCGCCCCACTGGCAGTGCAGGCTTGGCTGGGGAGGGGGCAAGGAGCCACAGATTAAAAAGACTCATTGTGGGCCGGTCAATTCTCAGTACTTCTTTGCAAGGGCCTTTCAACGCCAGAAATAAGCATCGCGGGCCTTCACAGTCCTGCCCAACCTCCCTGCTGCGGTGGTTTCATTTATTCATTCTGACAAACAGACATGGCGCTAGTTACGAGAACAAGATAATGGAGGCAGTATCGCCACTCAGCAAGCATCATACCTCTATCAAAACAGCATCTTCCTCTCTTTAATATTAAAGGTGCCCACAAATAACCAGCCCCCCAACACGACCTGAAGGAACAATGAGGGCAGCACTCGAGGATGGCGGGCAACGCCACCTCAGGTTTAGGGGATGGATCCTGCTTCAAACAATAGTTGTGTTTCTGAAACAATATGAAAATAGGCCTTGTTTTAGAAACACCATCGGAAGGCGTTCTGGTGAACGTCTTCACAGAGCAAACTCATCTCTGCAAATGCAATAAACACCCCCATACTGAAGGGGGAAAACCTTTTTTTTTTTTATGTTTGGGTTCGCTAACTCCAACTGGATAAGCGAGGAGTCGCTGATGTCGGCTGGTTTTGAGTGTGTATGTGGGGTGTGTGTGTGGGTGTGGGTGTGGGTGTGTCTGCGTGTGAATGTGGGTGGGTGTCTGTGTGTGTATGTGGGGTGTATCTATGTGGGGGTGTCTGTGTATGTGTGGGTGTATGTGGTGTGTGCGTGTGTGTGAGCACGCGACAGGTCCCCGGTTTGGCTGGGCTCACAAAACCTCACCCCTAAAATGCAAAGGGGGAAGGGGAGGAAGTGCATGTCCAGAGAATGCTCGCTGGGAAGGAAGGAAGCAGGGATTCCCTTCTCCCACCTGCCCGCCCCACATACGACAGCACCCACACACGCTGGCGACCACCACCGCACGGTGTCAGGGACTTCGCTCCTTCTTCCTCCCCTGGGTTCAGATCCGGAATTTTAAACCCAAAACCAACTGCTTCTCAGCCCGCGGTAAGAGGCCAGGCCAGCCGAGCCAGCCACAGAGCCGTCCCACAGGCTGACTAGGAAACCAGCTAAGGAGAAAAGGGGAGACGCTTCCTCTCTCCGCGGAAGCAAACTCATCCTGCCTCATCTACTCCGGGGGCTGCGGATGTAAGCCAGAGGGGCCTGACACGCACCCCTGGCCTTTCTGGGCGTCAAGAACAGGATCGGGTCTAGGGCAAATTCTCCAGGAGTTTAAGACAGTGATCTGTCTTTATCGTCTTCAGCTCAGGGAATTCACATTCCCTGGTATGAAGCAGTCGCGGGGAGGGGGGCAGAGTGCACAGGGACTATCTGGTATTTTATCAAAACCCAACGGCTACTTAGAAATACTTTTACCTAATAAGGAAGCAATGTCCTCAATGTGAGACTTCTTTAGGATCTCAACTCCCGTGCTTTTCACCTTAATTCTGCAGAGACAGAAATAACCTTTACACGCCACCAGCCACAATGCCACGAAGACGTTTTCAAACGTGTTTTTCTTTAAATGACAAAAGAATTAAATTCGTTTTCCTCCTTCTCAACCTTCCACTCCAACTAAAAGTCACAGCCAACTAGGAATTCATACGCCTGAGGTTACAGGCAGCAAGGACCCTGGTGAACGGGTTTTTCTTTTTTTTTCTTTCTCCTTTTAAGACAGAAAAAGATTGGCTGGATTTAAGAGTAAAAATGAATTCAAATCGTGACTTTTATGAGGCAAATCCCACTTTCAACTGCACAAGTAAGTCTTCTGTTAGATTTTCAGAGTGGATGATGCTGTTCCTAAAAGCTGTTTACAGCCCAGCAGGTGTGTCTTAGTTTAAAAAGATGCGCTTTCGTTTTTAAACTCAAGGATTCAATTACCTTCCCAGCCGCAGGGCAAGTGTGAGCTGGGGACCAAGCCAGCGCAGGAGGCAGCTCGGAAGGAAGCCGCAGCTCCCAGTAAGGAGCCAGGCAGGGGCAAGCGCTGCCGAGAACGCGGAACTATTGCTCCGTTGGTTCTCTGGCTATTTGGAGCTGGGAATTCTTATGCCAGACACACCGCTATCACAGTCTTGGGGGCATTTTAATCAGCATCGTTGTACGTGATCTGGGGCTTCCCACAGCCAGGTCATCAAGAGCGGCACGGCAATTAGCTGGCTGAGCGTCATCTTTTCGCCTTCTGAAGGCTGAGTAAGAGTTCCTACAGACTGACATGCTCAACAGGCAAATATTTTAAAACTGACGGTCACACAGGTTTCTGATTTTAAAGAAAAAAAGTGTTCCAATCTGTCTCAAGGAACTACCACTGTCTAACCCCAAAGTGCTCACCTCAGATAATAATTTATATTTATTCAGTGTTTGCAGAGCTTTCTCTGAGGATCTCACAGATACCTTGTACACATTGCCAATGTCCAAACTGCCAGAAAAGAAAAACTTGTTTTCCTCATAAGGTGATTATGAACGAGTTAATAATATATGTGACTTAAGGTTTTTTTTTTTTTGCGGGGGTGGGCAGTATATCAGAAATCCCATATAGGAAAAAAGAAAAAGTATACTTAGAAAAACAAAAACACAACACTTAACTTTTCATCTAGAGAGAGTATTTGAACATCTAGAAACAATTCCTTCTTTCTCTTATATTTTGTTGAAGTCTTGGTCCTGGCCAAAACCTATGTTATAAAACAAAAAAACCAAATCCTTGTTATTAAAACAAACAATTGACAAAGTAACACACAGGAACAACATACGTATACAGACATAGCGGGTAATCTTAACATGGGCAGCCCTGGGATTTCAGAGATACAGGGTTCAATCCCCTTTACTTCACAGCTGGGGGGAAGCTAAAGGATGAGGTCCGTGGCACAACGGCAAGCACCCGGGGTTTCTGCCTTCAGCCCAGCACACCTTTCACGGCACTACTAGAAAACCTCCACGCGGTCCACTATTTACTATTGCAGGGCTCCTGGCCAGCTAATTCCTCGAGTTACAGCCTTACATGTCTTTTTATAGCTGACTCTGTTAATTTTTTTTTTCCCCCAGGGTGAAAAAAAGACACTTCCAGAAGTGTCACCTTGTAAGCACCAGACCAAAACCCCATTCCACTGGAATGGGAACCAGTGCCAACAGATATAGTGCCAACTGTTCAGGCTCAATTATTTCACTGAGGCAACACCTAGGTATCGGCTGATAAAGATTTTACTTGTCACCCAACAGTCATTTCTAATTCCTGAAATTACGGAATAACGGCTGTCACCTTTGCAGGCCATAATCGCTTTTTCCATCTGCAGAGGACATACTTGGCATCCATCATGATTGAGACTCATGTGGCATGTGGTAATGATTTGGCACAAACACAGTACTTGAAGGTCTGACACCGATGTGCCCTGCAACAAAATTTGTACAGTGGCTTATAAAAGCATTTGCTTGCCATTTTAATGCAGACACAACCCTCAAGGGCAGAGGTTAGTTCGGCTTATCCTCAAGTAGACGGTTCAATTCTGGAACCGTGGATTGAGATATTCAATCTAAAAAGCAGACTGAAAAACAGAAAACCACCGCTCTCCGTACCCAGGGAGGGGCCTGTGTGTTTTCATAAATAAAATACCACCAGAGTCCCTCTCCACGGTTCTGTCTAGATTATTTTTAAAATACTCCTAAATAAAACATCTCTGGGCTCGAGGCCTGCCTCCGACCTCGGCACAGGTGTTTTAAACAATCAAAGCTTACAACCCTCCCGTTTCGGGAGTCAACAGTTGACCACAGAGCAAAAAAACGAAATAAGACGACAGGGGAGGCCCAGTCGTGTTCTGGCTGCGATGTCCCTGGAAGGACGGGGACAGCTGCAGAGCGCTCATTACATCAACGGGCGAGCTCAGTGTGGCTGTTAACAGCACTGAAAAGAGCTGGGGGGCTCCTTTTGGCCAAGGGGGATTTCACTGTAGTAGAGACGGGGGTGTGGTCCATCCGAGATGGGGGTTTAGGGCAGCAAAGACACGGATTCAGGGCATTAGTGATGGGGGTTTAAGGCAGCAGAAATAAAGGTTCGGTTCAGCAGAGATGGGGATTCAAGGCAGCAGCGATGGGGGTTCAGCTTGGGCAAACGT